ATGTGCATTATGTTTAGTAACCATTATCTGTGTGTCATACATATTTTTTTACTTAGTACTTTATCTTTCAAAGCTGTATTGCATTTTTGAATGAGTCAGCTGGTTACAGTGAGTCCTGCAATTTCTGAAGCAAATGAATTTATGTATTATGACATGAAATGCAGTTCATTCATTTATGTGCCTCCTTTTATTTATGATAATACTTCACAGGAGATGAGTGAATATTCTGTAATGCTTTTCAAAAGGTCAGTGTAGTCTTAACAATAGTGTCTTCATTCTGCATAGACTGGTAAATCTTTGCTGAGGGGTGAGGTGGCTGGGGTTTGTATGCTCATCATGACCTGTGTGGATTAGTGAAGTGCAAAGGTTCCAGAGAATGTGTATGTACAAACATACATCTACAGCAACCTCTGGGCATGCTTCAAGCTCATCTGTTTCCCTCAAGGATTTTAAAAGGTGGGGAGGAGGATTAAAAGAGCGGTAAATGGATAGAAAAAGAGGACCCTCAACTTCTAATTTGCTGGCCTTGTTAGTAAGAAAAGAACTGCTTTTATTTAGTTAGCGTGAAGCTGCTGTAGGTTATTTGTGTCTTTTGCTAAAATAAGGCATCTAGAAAGTGGATGGAAAAAATCATTCTTTTGGTTCTGTGTGAATTTAAAAGACCGAAAACAATTGATCTGCCCTCAAGTCCATAGCTACCTAAGAAAGGAAACAAAGTAGTACCTGTATTGTACTTAAGTAGCTACAATATGATTTTGAAGTGGAATTAGGCCAACTTCACTAAGCATCTTCCTTCTTTCTCTACTAGTGCCAGCTTTTCAAGCACCCCCAGTCCATCCCATCTTTTCAGAGCATTGCAGCTGCTACCAGAGCCACTATGCCCACCCATCCCAGTAGCACTGTTGGTTTGCAGTGTTTTCACGGGATTACACAGTGCAGAGGAGGAGCATGGACTTTCAGTGGGCAACTGAGCTGACCTTAAAAGCTTTTCCTGACACCACCTCTCCTTCCTGTGCACCATGTCCCTTGCATCAGGCTAAGTGATGTTTGAAGCAGCCCGCCACAGGGTAGAAAACTCAACTGGCAAAAAGCGTGAATAGTTCTGCAGTGGTAAAGTGAGCTGAACTGCCTGACTGAAGAGTGAGAAGGGAGGGGGAAGAAAGGAGAGAGAGCAGCAAGCCACTAAGTTAGAGCCACTTGCTCTTGAAGTCTTATCCTAAGAAAGAAACTGTAGGTAAGTATACCTGCAGGCAATGAAATTCAGGTCTGTTTTTCTCAAGTGCTCAATGATTCCTCTAACTCCCATGGTGACACCTTAACAGTCAGATTCTCAAAAGGGCTTAGTTTTCAGTGAGCACCCAGGGTGCTGAGGCCTTTAAAATTCCGGCTCTCTTCCTTCGCTGCCTACTTGGGAAATGAGCTTTCTGTAAAATTTCAGCTTTACTCAATAAGTAAAGCTTCTTAGTTAACTGCACTAGCTGGGGGGAAGGCATGGATCTTTAATATACTCTGCTAGTATTTGCCAGAGCAGCCTAGGCTGATTATATAGTGTCTCTGCATGAAGGAGGCCAGTGCCTGTAATTCCCTCCAAAGTCAATGCGGAGTGCAGGGTGTGAAGTACCGTGATGGGCCAGTCTCCAGACTGCAGCCAGGACACATGCTTCTTCTCTGAAAACCATTTCTTTCTCTGTTCACAAGTCAGTGCTTCAGGCTAGGCAGAGCTCCTTAAAAACATATTCTGACTTCCGATAACATTTTGAGCACCACGCTTGAACCCAGGAAGATGTAAAGACACTCTGTCCAAGGACTCCAGGAAATGATGCAATCTGAAAACCATTTACTACCTGTGTGTTTTACCCTCGGATATTGCCAAGGTGCTTAACTCACCTTTATGGACTCTCCGTTAAACTTATCTCGTTGTAAAACAGTGTTTCTTTAGGGAGGGGAAAACGTTTCAACCTTAAAAGGTTTAAATCAAAATCGCTGAGGATTTATATGCACCGGGAAGTTGCACCAGTTTGATCTAAACAAAGTGATGATGTGAAAGCAGGTATGGCAGCCTTGGGGGTCCAGCACACCCCTCTGTCGCTGATGAAGGCTTCACCATTCCCACCTCCATTCGTTACAGTTGGCAGACAGGGAAACGTGCCAGGACCTCAGTCACTTGGGTGTAAAGTCTGGCATGTTATCACAAACTGCTGAGAAAGGTACTGGAATACGAATTGGGGTACCTGGAGGTAGGACACAGACTCTGTCATGCTGGTGCTTTGACATTATCTGACAGGCCATGAGAGATATTTCAGTATGGTTTAGCTGAGAAAAGAGCATCCTGACAGGCTTCATAGGTGATGATTCCACCTCTGCCAGCATGGGGGTTTGGGGTGGCTGCAGCCACTGCACCCTGTCCCCATGTTCCACACTTTATACTCTGTCTGCCCTTGTGTTTTGGGGGCTACACAGAGAGCCTGTAGGTGAAAAGGCAGGATTTGCAAAGGAGCTGGGGCTCATCCTCCAGCACCTGCCTCTCAGAGCTGGGGCAGTGGTGCCATCTCCTTGCAGCCCTCACCTCCCCTCTCCTCTCTGCCTCTGCACACTCAGTGTCCTCCTTTTCCTTGCTCATTAACACTTGCTGACTTGGTAATGAGTATTAAACTGCAATTTACAGCAGGCAGAAAAGGAGTGTAGGGGAGAGTGGGAGGAGTGGGACAGGGAAGAACAACACTGCTCAGCTGACCTCTTTGGCCCTAAACCTCCTCCTGGGCAGCTAACAGCTTCAGGTTTGGATGGTGCTTGGAGTTTCCTAAGCAGCTCTCAGCTCAGGCAGGAAGCCTGGCTACTGAATGCTGCTCCAAGTCTCACCCTTAAGGGTAAGGAGCAGAGTCTGCCCCCATCACCTCCAGTTTTGACCTAAGAAGTCTCTTGGTCATGGGACTGGGTTCCCAGGCTGGTGGGGATGGGATGGTGAGAAGAGTGGTCCCCACTGCTGTCCTTTCTGAGCTGTGGCACCCAGGCCTCCCTGCTCCAGGGCTGACTGCGTAGACAAAAGCACTGGAAAATGCATATGTATCCTCAGTTTTGCATGAAAAAACCTCAAGTGTTGTGAAATAAGCTCTCCAAAATACAACCCAATAGCTTCGTTTTCGTGGCCTCAGGCTGATGCTGGCTGGGCCATAAATATCTCACAGCCTTTTGGTATGAGACCAGCCTAACCCATGGGCATGCTGCAGCCTGCTTGGGAGGAGGGGGATGTCTTCATTCCAGGCATTGCAAACCAGCACAGCTCCCTGCTATCTGAACTTGCTGCTTCCTTCCTACTGTTAATTTGTTCCTTCCTGCAGCTGATTTGTACCTCAATTTTCCTGCTATCTTTAACATTAATTCATTGTGTTCTGTGTTACAGAATGGTGTTTGAAGACTGGTTCCTGGACTGGCATTAGCCAGTGAATATCCAAATGGGATATTTTGGTCTTTCCTTCAAAGAGTTTGAAAAAATAGCTCTTTTTAATTTCATTTTACTTAAAAATAGTGAGGGATAATGCAATATGTTCACAGCACTAGTGGATGGATATCCCTGTCTCTGGGGAAAGAGGAACGAAGAAGTGACTTCTGATCTTAGCTTTCCATTGAGAAAGATTCAGCAAAGACGCAAGATTAGAGCACTTAACTGGAGAAGCAGTTTCGACCTTCAGTTAAGAATATTTTTGACATATTATTTCAATATAGTTAACCAAGGCTAAACTGTGTCAAGAAAATTGAATGAAAAAAGGAAGTGTAAAATGGGAACGAAGACAACTTGGAGAGCATGACAGGGAAGCAGGCAGAGGGGACAGGTAAGCCAGACCCTGTCTGATGGTGACCACCCCAGTAACTTGATCATGGGACAGGGCACCATTAAAAACCTTCCAATGGATCCTTTATGGGAAGATGTGAGTGAGAGACAATAACGTTTCCTGACCACACTGATTCCTGTGAACCTGTGTGGTCTTAAACTCATTTATATGGAGCACTGCAAGCAGCATAACCTGAATTAATGCTGTGAGACAGAAATGAAGCCACTAATGGACAGAAGGAAGCATGAGTCTAATGGTTCAAACACAGTGCTGGAGAGTCAGGAGACCAGAGCAGTTTTACCTGATTTAGCTACTGACTCATCTTGAGAGACTGCAAAGAATTCACATGTATCAAAACTGTTGCTGCTTGTGGCTTGGGGTCTGTTTTTCTGAAGTTATGGCCATTCTGAGCACTCCAGCTCGAGCTCCCATATGCCACGGCTGCCTCATCTGGAGGCTATGAGCATTCACTCATTCATGCTGGAGTAGCCCTGCGAGCCTCTCAGGGGAAAGGGCATAATATTATGATTTAAATAATTTACTTTAAACCTTGGCTCAAGGGATGGCATGGCCATTAAGTAATGGCCTTTGTAATCTAGCAAGCCTTTCCTGCCCTTCCCTGTGACTGGATCCTGTATTTAACACTTCACCTGGCAAAGCACGGAACAATTTTCCCCCATTTACTTTAACAAGGCAAATCTTTTACTCACCACACCACAGACACGCTGGCCACTTTGACTGAGATGGCCCTATAAGGGCTATACAAAGGATGACTCAGGAAAAGCTTTGCTAATCCTCAGAGTCTCCATCAGGTAATTCTGCGGTATCCAGGTATTGCCACTGGTAGCCAGCTTGGGCCTCCTGTCTGCCCATCAGGGCTTCTGTTGCAACAAGCACAAGCTCACACATAGTCATATGCTAAAGGCTTAATTACAAACGAACTGTCAGCTTGTGCAAACTGGTTTTTGCTGGGGATCGTTGGGTTTCCAGGGGTAAGCTGGGTGGATTTGAATCTCCACCTTCAGAAAAAAGGCTGTGTTGAGGGACGAGTTTGGTGGCTGTCGTGTTGTCATGGGTGTCAGTGAAAGCACTTGGCTTGTTTCAGAAAAAGAAGGGTATTTATGTAGGTATAGAGCTTGTGTAGTGGTTCATGGTAGAAAAAGGAAAGGAAACAAAAGAAACCCCAGTTTTCGTGGATAAACCATTTGCTTTTAGAGGTAAGTCAAAACAAGGACTTCCTGGGTTCTGACCCACAGATACCTATTAAAAAGTTTCTGTGAGGCAGGTTTGTGAGCTGTATGTTGAGAGCAAGCAGGGTGACTGCACCCATCAACTCTGTCCTCCCTGCATGTGACGGACATAATCTGGGACCTGGTATGGCTGAGTGCAGCCCCAGTTTATGTTTTTCTCCGCAGCACTGGGAACTTATTCCTGTCAGAAAGGGCACTGGATAAAGCGTATCCTGTCTCAGGCATGATCTGACATGGTACTGCCTATATTTTTTCCCTCAAGCGAAACTCCCACCGACATCAGTAGAAGTTTGATTCCAGAGGAAGCTGAATTTCTAGCTAGTTTATCTGATTCAAGCCTTCCTACATGAAACACAAGGGACTGGTGCAGCCTCTCCACCTTGGGAATCGCATCTTCTCACACCATGGCTGAACTTGCCTCAAGGTCTACTATGGAAAAGCTGAGTGAGTGTGAGCCATTTTCACAACACTGGTGAAGTTTTACAGCCTCTAGCAGTTATTATTGCACTGGGTCATACCCCTGAGGTAAATTATTAATAATAATAATATGTTATTTTTGTTAAACCTGACATCTCCTTTCATCTCAGCCCCATGCTTATCAGGAGCTCTGCAATAACAAAAAAGGAAAGTTTTATTTCCACATTTCCATCTCTTGGTCTCATAACGCCTTGTCTGCTTTGGGAAGTGAAGAGTAATCTGTGGAAAGCTTTCATGCTCTCAAACCTACCAAAACATGCAATATTAATTGGGATTATTAATTGTATTTACTGCACTAGCTAGTCTAACCTTGTTAAAGGCCAGTGTGAAGATGTGGGATCATTTCTGTCATTTGGAACATCCTGCATGCTACCTCCTCTCAGAAATCAAAAGGAAAATTACCTCACTTTTATTAATCATCCTTTTTCTTACAAGGTTTTGCCTTTTGTTTAGCTGCACTTCACAAGGAGAAGGTGTGTTTTCTGTGCTGCTTTGAGATCTTGGCAGTTAATGGAACTCTTTGATTTTTAAATAAGAGTTATTCCTCTGAGTGTACAGTATAAACCTAACAGGCAAGGGACTGTGCCTTTAAGTTCATCAGTTTTCCCAGTGCTGTACTGGAAGGATTGGACTGAAACTTTAAACATTTCTAGCCATACCTAGCATATGTATAATTTATAAGCCACACACCGTTTTCTGTCAAATAGGCGATTGATCTGACTCGGATCTCGTTAATTATCCTCCACATACATTATACGTTAACAGATCTTCAGTATACTGTGTATCAATATTAATAAGATTATAAAACACTATTGATAATTAGGAAGAGAAAGAGACCAGGCCTTTGATTCACTCTGTTACTAACGCCCCTGCATCTCTAGATTAAAAAGAGACCACTTTTCGTTTAATAATATCAGATCAGTACATCCATCTTCTAAAAGGCTTTATTAAGAGAAAGCTAAGATTTGCATCCCTATGCAAGGGGCTATTTGAAATTGATTATGGAGGCATCATTGATGTGTGAGAAATTTGTTTCTCTGTCTTGTCTAAAGGGGGGCCTAATAGGTGGGAGGGATTTAAGGTGGAGCACTGCACTCTTGGATCTTTGATCAGGAAATTCCTATTTTTCTTTGTCAGGCTATATTTGGTAAGCCGGATTGCCTTGTTTTGGAGGAAATTAAATGGGATGTCATATCACTTCCTTTTAAAAATAACAACATCTCTGTTATCACACTCCAAAAGAAAATGGTGGGATTCAACAGCAATATTTTTTCTTTAAATTATGTGGGTCTGATTAATTTTTTTCATTACTTTTTACAGTTTTTCTTTTTTCCCTCTGACCTGCCTTTTATGTTTCCATTAAGCTCATTTGCAACAAGCAAACCCGAACAACGAGCTGCTAACAAGGGCTCTGAAACACTTCATATCCAACTTGAATCAGGCCAACTTTGCTTTCCTAGAAATTTCATAGTAAAGGGGAGGGAAAATCACTGAAGAATGACAGAGAGAAACAGGCACAAATAAATTCAGGTTGTCACATGACTGGTCCTCCACTGGGATGCTGCACAGCACATTGCTGGCTTGGAGACCAGCACCACAGCCAAGTGCAGGTGCTTTCTGTATCGCTTATCAAATGATTCAACATTCGAGCATGGTATCTGCTTCTGCCTTGCTGCCCGTGTCCACTGATCACCGCAGAAGCCTGGTCTCATTGTCTTCATTAAGCTTCAGAGCAGCTCTTCCCAGGGTCAATGTGCACAGTGCCAATGTGGCTAGGCAGAGTTCCCAGGCCTCCCCCCCCCCCAGGCTCTGGAGCAATTCTGCAGCGCATCCTTCCTGCTGCTGACACCAGCTCTGCTCCTCTGGGCTGGCCAGATTAGGACACCTCATTCCAGCCACCACAGATCTTTTAAGCATCATGTGCCACAACCCTATTGAGGTGGGATTTCTAAAGTATCATGTTGAGGGCATCAGCAGCTTCTGCTGATGGTGCTTCTGATGGTGCACTGAACAAGGGGCTGTAGTGGAAGATACTCAGTGTGAGCAGCAAAGGGAAACTGAGGGAACCTACCCTAGCATGGACAGGGGAAATTCACACATGTATTTCCCTGCAAGGTAGCCCAGTAGATTCTCATTTCCCATGGCAATTCTGCAAACAGCCTAAATAAAAACATCAATTTCTGGCTTCCAGGAAATCTGCCTTATATATAATCTGCCCATTCCCCAGAGCTCTGCGATTTTCAAGCATGCTGGGAGAGATCATGGCTCTCAAGACATCCAGCAATGTGAGACAAGGGAAGTTCCAGGCTGCTGTGTCCTGTGGAAGTCTTGGGAAAGTCCCTTCATCTGCCTGGGATGTTCATCATACTAGTGAGGGGTCATAGGGACCGCTTGGGTATGACTGTGGGGTACAGGACGAACACCCACAGTACCTAAAATGCTGGTGGGAGCCCCTCAATACCCATGCCAGCTGGAGCAAGGCCACCAATCAGTAGTGTTACATCCAAGCTGCTCTGTTTGCCATGCCTCTTTAGTCTGAAGCTGGGGAGGGAGCGCTCAGCTGAGACACAGAGGTGAGGGAGTGCAGGGAGAGATGCTGACTGCAGCTGGGAGCAGGTACCTAAGCCCAGATTACAATGAACATACCAGGTACGTAAGCAATGTAAAGAGCTTTCTGAGGACGTGACCTCTGCTGCAAGAGAAACCTGGGAAAATGAAATGAGGCAATGCAATGCCGAAGAAATGTTCTGGTTTAATCTCTTGGATGCTTGTGCCCTTCTTTCTGGAGGGAGCCTTGAAGGAAACCACAGAAAGAACAGCAAGAGACAACAATGTGAAACGTTGCCTAAAGACTCAGAAAGGAAAACTCAGACTAAACCAATAAAAAAGCGCAGCAAGATAACACAAAGACCACAGTTTTACTTCCTGATATTGGAAGGCATAGTGGCTGGCAGGTTTTCCTGGGATTCCTGCAAGCCAAGAGTGTGGGCTATCAGCACAGCAGGGCTCTTCCGTGCCGGTCTCTGGCTAAAACCTTGCCATAGTTTCTCTCTCCAACAGGTTGCTGGTCCAGGCTCACTGTGGAGCAACTTCCTGAGCCAATGTTCACTTCTGGTGGCAGGGCTCACCAGGCATGAGCCGGGGACACTGAAGCCATTCGAACCACGTCACATCCATTCACACTGGTTCTTGCATACAGTCCAGGACATAAATAACTTGCTGTGTATTCCTGGAGACTCACCATTGCTGCACATCCTGTGCGTGAGCACAGCAGCACTCGCGTGCACGAGGATGTTTACCAAGGCCAGCAGGGAAGTGCCCGAGGTGTCATTTTCTCACGAAGGAGGGAGCTCATTCCCTTAGGCCCACAGTTTCTCCAGCTTCTTACAGTTTAGGAGATGACCTTACACAAAAAACCCACGCAGGAACCAAAGTTACTTTCATTAACAATGCAGAGAAGTCAAGATATTTACAACACTGAAAGCCAGCTAAACAAACAGGATCCAGTTCAGTTTTAAAGCACCAGGAATGTCCCAGGTTAATTCATTCATGTGAATGTATTTCCCAGCAGAAATCTGAGATGAAGAGAAAGCACTCAGCAATTTGGGGTTTCATCCTCTCTTTGCCAATCTCTCTCCAGAGGCCACCAGGGCATCACCTGCTCGCTGCTCCTCTTGGCTGCTGTGCATTGCAGAGGGTAAGAAAGCCCAGCATGCAGACTGTAAGCTAGTGCTGCAGAACCATCAACTGGCTTGAACTGGGAGACAATGGCCAGGAGAAATCCCTCACCTGAGCAGTTGGATGGCTATGAGACAAACACATCCTGAGCACACGATGAATTGCTTGTCTACCACCTTGTACGAATGAAAGAGCTGTTGATGCAATCAGGGTCGCAGCTGAGACAGCCACAGCATAAGAGAAGGGTTTTCCTGGCCAATCTTATCAACGTGACTGAATGGGTTTTGAAATTGCACTACCTCAGATGCTGGGTCCTGCCAGGTTCAGGCTCAAATGTGTTACAGGAAGAGCATGGAAGAGCTTGCTTTGTCCATGATCCTGCCGTCCATAGCTATGTATAAGTCTTCTGTGTCTCCAGCTCTCAGGCTGGGACTATTCATTAAGAATCAAAAGGAGGGGGGAGGAGAAACTATGTATGATTCTTTGCATCATCACAGCACATGCTGAAAATGAGATCCTTGGAGGCAATGGCAGCAGCCTGTATTTACTCAAATTAGGGCAGTGGTTTAATGCATCAGAGCCTTTCTGATGGATCATGACAATTTATGGTGTGGAACCATTAAGGAGGAAATGATGGGAAGGATCCATCATTGCAGACATGATGCTCCAGGTGTCCATCTAGCCCAGAGCAATTACTACATGGCCCCTTGACATGGCACCTCCAAACAGTAACATTGTGCCAGGATTTGCATATTATTAACCTGCTCAGCTTTACTACATCAGAAGGAGTAGAAAACAAAAGGAAAATATCCCCATTTGAGCTTTGGCATGGTAAGCTACTTTTCAACCCTGGCAACCTTTTAATTTTGATCCAAGAACAGTTGCTTTTGTGTTGAGTGGAGAAACCCTGAAGATGAACATGTGGCATGAATAAAAACAGCAAAACCTTGGTAGCTCTGCACTAAAGAAAAACAATACTTGGGCCATTTGAAACAGTAAGAGTCTGCTCCCAGCTTGAGATTTTGTCTGACAAATTTCAGAGAGAAGAGATTTTTTT